AGAGAGGAAAAGGGGAAGGAGCTGCTCTGCTTGGGCTTGGACTTTGTTTCTAGAAGGGGTAGATTGCCTGAAGGGCTACAACAGTGTGGTGACCAGAACTGACACCTGTAACCACTTTTAATGCATCCTCCTGAGCTGAAGTGGAGACGGAGCCCTGATCAACGGGCTGGACCTGAAGCTCTGAGCTGCTGTTTCACAGCACAGACTGTAAAATACAGGAGGATTTGTCCTCTGATGATCTCCCCCAGTGTTTCGCAGTCACAGATTTTGTGATTTGATGCCTTCCCACACTTGGTCACCCCTCCGCTATTTATTTTAAGCAAGTTTCCAGCCATGCCTCAAACCTGTATTGCCTCCGGTGGGGATAACCCCTCACCAGCACCAGCACAGACAGGCTGGAAACAAGTCAGAGAGATGACGTGAGGGTGGTTTTATTCTCCATATGTCCTCAGAGAGCTGCCTCTCTCTCCCCACACTGCTGCTGTGGTTAAAAATGCCCCTTCTTAGCAGCCACCCCCCAGAATGACAATAAAAAAGCACCAGATCCTGTCTGCACACGCAAAAATGGGTTCCTGGTGTTCGGGCAAGTAAACATCGAGGCAATATTGGTAGATCTCTGCTTCCTCACCACGGGTCAGTCATGGGTGAGAGGCATTTCTGGCCCACTTTGTCCCTCGATGGAGGGAGAGGGCTTCAGCTCCCCTCCAGCTGGAGAGCATGGCAGGCTCCCGGCTGCTTCTAGCAAGTGTAGGGTGGGCATCCCAGCTAGATTTTTGGCTGTTTGTGGGCTTACAGCTTATCTTCTCCTGGAGCTTCATAATCTTCTTCACAAGTAAAATATCATGCCTGTATTTGAAGTTGCAGGATTTTATTTTTATCTTGCCATGCACACTCATCTATTTAATTTTGTATTTTTATCTTTCCGTGCACACTCATTTATTTGATTCTTTTATTCTGAGACCCACTCTGGATAAAAGGCTGGATTAAAAATTGCAGCTAAATGCACACAGCTCCAAAAAGTGATCCCTCACTCCAGGCCAGGTGGCGAGAGCAGTCACATTGACTTTGCTCAGGACTGGAGAAGAGGAAGACCATGCCCACCCTACGTATCATTTGACTCTGAGTCCTTAATACAATATAATCATTTTCTTTGTGTGTATGTGTGAAGGTGTAGGAAGCTTGTGCCGTCACCAGTGCTCCTGCAGTGAGAACACAGTGGTCAGTTTTGCACAGTTAGTGCCATGGCACAGGAAACTGCTTGAGGATGCTTGAAAGCCAGGACAAAAGGGAGATGGGGGGAACAAAATCTGGTGTATTCTGGGCTCACGCTGCTTATTGAGAAGGTCTCTGGACTCAATTATTTCCAGAAGTGTGGAAAGGTATTGCTTCAAAGGGAAAAAAATCATTGACTCAAAAAAAAGAGCTCGGGAATGGATTAACAGGAGTGCAGCGTGGGCAGACTGGGACTGACACCTGTGAGTGAAAGCAGGGCAGAAATTGCTCCTCAGTATCTAAGGTGGGAGTCAGGTGGAAGGGAGGCTTTTAGGTCCAAATTTGCAATATGGCTCTCCTCCCAATAACAAAACCAGCTATTTCTTAGCCTGGAATATCCCAAAATTAATTTAGTTCTTCCTTTTTTACCCAAATATTTTGGACACCTGCTACTGCAGTTATTCCAGCAGTGCCCATGCACAGCAGCTTCAGAGCCTGAGCCTGTCTGGGACCAGGAGACACCTGGGGCTGTGTGTGACCTGCACATCAGGGCACGCCTCCATGCCAGAACATATGATGTGGACATCGACCACTCTGTGCTGGTTGGCTTCAGTGCACGAGAGCAGTCGTCAGCACCTTTAAGTTGCTTTACAAGCAAAAATGTAACCCAAAATGTTGGCCACTGTGTCTTTGTGTGATTAAGTTTTTTTAAAAATTCATTTTACCTATTAAAATACTCCTTTTCCATATTTTACCTGCTCAAAAACAAGGTCAGAGGGAATTGTCCTAGTGATGTAGCTATTGGGTAGGTAGGTTTTGTCCTTTAGTTGGATTCCAGCAAAGATGAAACAGGTGTAGTGGTGACTGTAACTGAGGGTAATGAGAAAATTTATTTGTGGCAGTGAGAGACACTAAAAGAGCCATCAGGGCAGGTTAGTCGCAATTGAATGAGTATAGGGGTGGTCAGTCTGTGGGGAAAACAAGAATTAACACAAAAGTCTGCAATTGATTACTTTAAAATATAAAATGGCAATGACTAGCACTGAGATTTGGCTGGCAGAGCATCATTCCAGGCTGTAAGTACATATTGTGCCAATACATCCTCCAGACCACCTGGCCACAGACCAGCTTCCTTTTTTCATCAGGCACAAGGAAAAACTACTGCTTCCCAGCCCCACAGCCCCTAGTTACCATGTTGTTAAAGACATTTCTGCATGTACAAACAAGAAAAAAAAATTCAAACATAATCCAATGAAATGCAGGGGTGTGCTAAGGGGAGTTCTGCATGCCTTGTGAGGCTCAAAATTATTAAGGGCTAAAATTTAATAATGATCTTGTCGTGTCCTTATGGCAGATAATAGCCTAAGCTATGTGGTACTTCTTGTGTTCTTAACAGGCTTGAGTTTTCAAACATTTTCAAACAAACACGTGACTCTGCTGATTTTACCCCTCTATAAATGAGACAACCTGTTCAGGCGATTTCTTCATATACTGTATCTCAGTTTTTAACATAGGAATATTAATGAGCCTAGCTTTCACAAAAACAAGGTGTGCATGGGTGACCTGGGGAGGCATACATTATTAGATAAGAATACACAGTTGCTTTTCAAATTAGTTTTTTATCTTCTTAGATGTTAATGTTGATGTCTTACTGTTAATATTCAGGAGTGAATGAGTTTCTGAGTATTTTCCAACCTATTTCCAAGTGTCCTTTGATCCTGACCGGAGCATGTCTGGAGACCCTCCTCCTCATTGTGACATTGTCTTTTCTTGATTCTGCAAGGGGCCACCTCCTCACCCCTCTCTGGGTAGATTTGTATTGGAGATCTTGATTTCATCACTTGGTTCATCCCTGTCTACAAAGGCCAACTTTCTCCTCTACCTCTGCCTGAAGAAGGTGATTGCCATCCCTTCAGTAATTGCAGGGATTGCAGGAAAGCAATTATTCTAAACTGAGTACTTTAAGGTGATTGCTTAGAAGAGAGGCTTGCCTCATAAGTGTGCTTTCAAGAACAGGTATGCAATTAGGAGGATAATTATTTTGATAAATTCTGAACCACTAACAATTACGATGGCGCAAGAAAAGCAGCCCTAAAATAGTTGAGTTCTGATTCTGCAGGTGCTAAGTGCTGGCTGCTTTCAACTCCTGCCGAATTCAAAGGAGAGTTGAAGGCATTCAGTTTCTCCCAAAGTTGGGGTTTAAGAAAAGGCTTTCCCTTCCCTAAACATAATCACTCATGTTTGAAGGGGGGGCAACCTGAAGAAAATGACAGGAATATGAAAGGAGGATTCTTTTTTCCTTCACTGAGCCGTTAGCACTGACAGCCATAAAACCACATCTGGGACCAATACACAAACATTAATAACCAGCCATCAGCGTAGTTTTACCAATTAGTGCTAATTACATTTCATTAGAAAAACTGGCAGCATAGGGAGGGTGGAGTTTGAACTACTTTTTTGTTTCTTACTGACCTACATAACTAATGAAAAGTTTTAATTAACATAAAACTATACTTTTTTTTATGTCCATCAACGCAGTTTAGAGGAGATTACAGGAAAAAAATTACACCTGGCTAATTGGAAAAGTAGAGTACCGAGAATTTACTGGGAGGTCTGTTCTTCAGCTCAACACAAGATTTTTGTACTTTTCTGGTTATAGCCAAATTGTACTTACCACTAGTCCTGTGACAACATTTGGCCCTTGCTTTCCATTAGGCAGTAATTTCCAGCAGAAGAATGTGAAGTGAAAAAATTCCATGACCTGAAACATTTTAAAATCGGTGATGAGTGCTTTTCTTTTCATCCCCCTGGACAAGGAGAGACTAGCAAATACAAAGTGCAATATGCAGTATTTAATTTCAACACCGTTCTGAGCATGAATAGTATTCATCACCCTTAAGTATAAACTTATGATTAATTTTTCTATGCCCACAGCACACTTGACACAGTTAATTTTCTTCATATTATTATACCTGAAGTTCTGCATAAGAGGACCCAGTGTCTTTCACCCCCAGCTCACAAATTCATTACTCACTGAAGGCTGGATTGTGTAAATTAAGGTGCCTGGCCCCATCCGTTTTCCCACCAGAAAAGTTCCCAAATCACACTTTCTGGTCCTTTCCACCAGTTTGGCAGAGGCAGCCAAAAGCAGAATGAGGAGGCACATGTTCAACTTCCACAGCAGCTGTGGGGTGGGCAGCACAGCCCATTACACGGGGACCTGCACGGGGACAGCAAGACAGATTCCTTCCTGCCGCTGCCTGAACTTAACAGCTACGAGCAAGTCCAGTGGACTCAGTGCCCCCATAGGGCACTTAAATTCAAAATTCCAATCTCCAGGCCCCTGCTCAGCTGTCAGTTAACTCAAAGGCACTTCACTATTTCTTAGCAAAAATTTCCCAGGAGCTTGGGGGGGTGCTTCTGGGAGTGGGCTCAGCCTCAGCAGTGGGGATCTTGCCTCAGAAGGGGGGTACCCCACCGTGCTGGATCAACAGGAGTCTGTAAGCCAGTGGGATGTTTCCAATAAGGAGGGTCTCTTTCAATCCATCAGGGATGTGCCTTCCCTCACCCTAACCGAGCAGCTGAGCTTTCCACCCAGGTGCAGAAGAAATCTGCTTCCACAGCTCAGGGGGATTCAGGCCCCCGTGTCTCCTCTCTCTGCAGGGTTTGTGTAGACACAGCGTGTTTGCCCAGAAGCATTTAATTAACCATGTAGAAAAGTAAAAAACAAAACACGTGTGCTACCTTTTTTTTCCTCGCATAAAGAGCAGCGTTATATATTCCTTCAGGACACGAGGCAAGAAGAAGCAGGAATCGGAGTGGGGTCCCCATGAGAGAGGAGAATGAGAGAGCTGAAGCAGATGCGTTCCCACAGATCCTTTGCAAGGCTACGGCAGGAACAGAGCTGCTGTTTGAGAACCCTTCCAGGGCCAGTACCCGTATCTTCACAATCCTGAAGGTAGGAAAACAGAAGAGGGCAAAATGTCACAGTTTTATAGCACTACGTAATGGCTTTCTAAGCTGTTGAGATTTTTTTTATATTTTTATATTTATATTTATATCCAAAAACTACAAAAGGGTAGTTGCATCAATGTTACACTAGAATTTTGTAACTTTCTTTGGTGTCTGTTCTGATGCACATGTTAAAAACCACAGTATCAAGGTGCAAAAGGTTTAGAGAAGCCCGCGATGTAAAGCAGCAGCCACACAGTGTGACTGGGTGCAGCCAGAAGAGAGGGACCAGAAAGGAAAACCCACTAGACAGTTCTTGGCATCAGCAGAGTTCGAAGAAGCAGAGATTTGGATCTGAGCTGGTCTCGTCTCTGATCCCCATGCTTATTTTCCATACTTTTTTCATGTAGCCACAGAAATAACTCGATTTGGCTGTAGCCACAATACCACTGAGCTGTGCCAATTGCATCGGCTGTTCATTTGGCTCTCGGCACAGGCAACAGCTCGAGTCCATTCAGGTTTCTCCCTGCACGTGACCCTTTTTTTCCTCTTTGGTGCTGCCTTTTTGTAGTGGAATATCTGTCAGCTCCCATCAGGTGAGATGATAACAAACTTAAAAGACGGCTAGAAAAAAAACATGATCACCATTCCCGTATATTGTTGCCACCCTGAAATTCGTAACAACAAGAGATTTAACTGAAAAGAAGGCTGAACTAAATTAGGTTGGATTAGCTATTCTCCTTTAGAAAAACAAAAAAAACCAAAACAAAACAAAACACACAAACAAAACCACCAAAAAACCCCAAAACAGAAACACCACACCCAACTAAAAAAAAAAAAAAAACCAAACAAAAAGAACATCAGCAGTTCTTAAAAGTGGGGGGGTGCAAGAAGGTGAGGCTAAGTCCACACCAGCCCTGCTGGTACACGTCAGGGTGTGTGACTTTGGTGGCTGTCCCTGCAAGGGGAAGCTGTGTAGGGAGAGAAGAGGAGCGGGTGAGAAAAAAGGCAATGGTTGGAATTGAGGTGACTTACCCTGTGACAGTCTGTTTGGGAACAAAAGAGGAGAGGGCAGCAGTCTGCCAGTGACATTTAGCCTGTGGCACCAGCGTGGCCAGGAAAAGCCTCTGATATCATGCTTCATTCCTTTTTTCTTCATCTTCCTGCCTTCTCTGCACAAGGTCTACTGCACCCTCTGGGGAAAACAGCTCCCCAGAGCAAGGGCTGAAACCCTACTTGGCTACACAGAGGAAAAAGTTCTGTCTTTTGTTTCAAGTAAGATGACTTTCAGATGTTTGGATCCCCAGGGGAGTCATCTAATTCTTCGTGCTTGCTAATGAAAGGCAAATCCATCCAGGTCTAGTCTTCATCAACAGGTTAATTGTCATAATATTAATTATTCCCTTTTATTAAGTTTAATTCCATTTAAAAGCTTTGCCCTTCTTTGTAATCAGGTGTTAAGGTTATATTATTTATATGAGGTGATTGCTTTCTTTAAAGTGTGAAACAAACTAATTTCTCTGGTACCAATGTCAATACATTTTTGGTGCATAAAGCATCAGGTATTAGATAGGATGGGACCATGTATGGTAGTGATGATGGCAAGAGCTTCAGATAACAGGCTTTCAAAATCTAGTGCTAATTAGATCTTCATCTGATCAGACCTTCTATGTGTCCCTGACCATTACATTTCCCTCAGTTGCTCCAGTATATTCTCTGTGCTGAAGTTTATTTGTGTCTGGTTAAACCTGTTTCCAGAAGGGCATCTAGTTGTCCCATGGCAGTTTATTCAAATGGTTAGTTACTTCCCATGTGAAAGTAAGATTCCCAACTGTCCAACTTGACTTTGCCAACTTCAGCTCCCAAACAAGGATTTCTCAGAGTCTTTTTCACCTGACTTTAAGGGTCCAGATGAGGGCCTTTCATAACTGTACTTTTGTCCATGAAAATACTTCAATACCACATTCAAACCACTTAATGAGATTTTTAAGTTCATCAGACCGAGCTCTTTACATTTCTCACTTCAAAAGTGCTTCTTTAAGCAGTTCCAGGACACACAGGGAGGCTGAACAGGAGCAGGACCCCCAGATGACAGGGACCCTGATAGGTCCCAGCTGCCTGAGCTGGTGGTCTGTGTGATCCTGACCTGCTTGAGCCACCACTGTGCTCCCCACTGCTGGGCAGAGATAGAATCATAGAATCATCTAGATTGGAAGGGACCTTAAAGATTATCTAGTCCAACCATCAACCTAACTCTGACAAAAAAATAAATAAGAAATAAGCATTAAAAAAAAAACAAAACACTAAACCATATTCTTGAGGACCATGTCAACCCATCTTTTGAACACCTCCAGGGACGGTGCCTCAACCACTTCCCTGGGCAGCCCATTCCAATGCCTGATAACCCTTTCCGTGAAGAAATTTTTCCTAATATCCAATCTAAACCTCCCCTTGTGCAACTTGAGGCCATTTCCCCTTGTCCTATCTCCTGTGACTTGGGAGACGAGACCTACCCCCTGCCTCTCTACATCCCCCTTTCAGGTAGTTATAGAGCACGATAAGGTCTCCCCTCAGCCTCCTCTTCTCCAGACTGAATAACCCCAGTTCCCTCAGCCTCTCCTCACAAGACTTACTCTCCAGACCCCTCACCAGCTTCGTTGCCGTTCTCTGGACCCGCTCCAGCACCTCAATGTCTTTTTTTGTGGTAAGGGGCCCAAAACTGGACACAGTACTCAAGGTGAGGCCTCACCAGTGCCGAGTACAGGGCCCTCTCGGGCCCTACTCCCCACACTAATCACCTCTCGGGCCCTACTCCCCACACTGTTCCTGATACAGGCCAGGACACCATTGGCCTTCTTGGCCACCTGGGCACACTGCTGGCTCATGTTCAGCTGACAGTCAACCAACACCCCCAGGTCCTTTTCTGTCAGGCAGCTCTCCAGCCACTCTGCCCCCAGCCTGTAGCGCTGCAGGGGCTTCTTGTGACCCGAGTGCAGGACCCGGCACTCGGCCTTGTTGAAACTCATCCTGTTGGCCTCAGTCTATCAATCCAGCCTGTCCAGATCCCTCTGCAAGGCCTCTCTACCCTCCAGGTCTGTGAACTTACTGAGGGTGCACTTGATTCCCTCATCCAGATCATTGATAAAGGTATTAAAGAGAACGGGTCCCAGTACCGAGCCCTGTGGGACACCACTCGTGACTGGCTGCCAACTGGATTTGACTCCATTTACCACCACTCTCTGGGCCCAGCCTTCCAGCCAGTTTTTAACCCAGCAGAGGGTATTCCCATCCAAGCCATGAGCAGCCAGTTTCTCCAGGAGGATACCGTGGGAGACTGTTGGAGACTGTATTGAAGGCCTTGCTAAAGTCCAGGTAAGCAATATCCACAGCCTTTCCTTCACCCAGGAAGCGGGTCACTTTGTCATAGAAAATCAGGTTTGTCAAGCAGGACCTGCCCCTCATGAACCCTGTGTGTCCTTCATGGCCTCAGCTGATCTTGCTCCTGCCCCATGAGCAGTGAGGAGCTGGGGGCTTCCGAGTCCCCACCTCTGCTAGCCACTGCCACCATCTTGGCTTTGCTGAGCTCCCTTATGAGGGAGGGATAAGCCTGTGCTGGGGTGGAAAAGCCTTTGCTCCGCCCTGGGAGATATGGACAGCCCTCTCTGGAAAGGTGGTTCCTTCTCTTTTTTAGAGGAACAAACTTCAGGCTTGCTTTCACTGCTGAGGAGCTTGTAGTAGCCCATGACCCTTCTCAAAGGGCTTGCTCCATGCTGGGCGATGGCAGCCACAAACCCCAACGCTGGCTTTGTAGGGACCTACCACTGTTCTGCACAGCAGCAGCTCCCTACAAAGCTCCTAATGAAAAGCCCAGAACTGCCTCATCCCCAGCCAGAAAGGAACTGAAAGAATTCACCATCATGTCCTTTTGTCCCTTCTCCATTCCCCACACTTCACAAATTCTCATCTATAATTGATTGTCCTGTTACCCCCTTTTATCGATTGTACATCACTGCTTATTCTGAGTTGCTGCTTTCATTTTTTCCACAAAGTGTGGGTGGTCTTTCAGGCAACTCTGTCATCTTTCTTGGCACCAGAATCACAGGTTTTTGGTTATTTAATGAGCTCTTCTTGAAAGAGCTCACAGTTCTCCATCACATTTGAAACTTCTGATTATTTTTTTTTCCCAAATATCAGTCTCACCGTTTTTTCTTCAGATTTGGGAAACTAGTCCTTCTGAAACAGTAAAAATGCGTAAAAGTCTGTTCTCTTTTTGAGCATTTTTAACATTAGCAAGCGGTGAATACCTGTCACTGGCTGACCACCTAGCTTTACCTGTCACAGAAGGGTCCAGAATAGATTTGGTGTAGGGTGGGTGTTCTGGGTTAGGAGGTAACTTTTAGGAAAAAAAAAAAAGCCTTCAAAATAGTCTTAGAGGATACTGCAATTCTTTCCATACAGCAGAACTTGTGAAGGAAAGAGGAATTGTATATGTGAAATTTTGTTCCAACTGGTTTGAATCCAGGAGTTCTTGTTTGATCCATTATAGTCAAGCCAGAAATTACATTCCTAATATTTGAGCCTGTTTGGGTAGCAGGTTGTATTTCAGCTGATGATTTATTTATGAATCTGAGGAAAAAGATTATTTATGACTGCAAAAGTGGGATAAATTGTAAAATTTTACCTATACCCAAAATCAAATTACAAAACTTTAGCCTATATGTTATTCACAAGCTGCCTTCCTAATATATTATTTAGCAAACATAACATTATCTCATTATATGTGGTCTTTGCCCCAAAGAGTTTGCTGTCTCATTCGAGCACCAAGGATTTATTTTTTTTTCAGCAGAGGAAAGCATAATGAAGTAATTAGTTTTGAAATAAACAGACATCATTTCAGATTAGAGGGGATGCACTTTTAATTAAGGCATCGCCCAGAAACCTTCATCTGCAAGGCATGCAATTCTGCACCAGCAACGGCACAAGACGTTACGCGAAGGATTTCACTGA